ACATTAATAGAGGGGAAATACAAAACCACACAGAGCAAGGGTGTAAAAATTCACTGCGGGGATTAACAGGGAATTGTCCACGATTTTGTGGACAATTTTGAGTTGCTAAAGGTCCATTTAAAACTTGAGTAGAAAGTCTGGTTGTCTCTGGCATGAGAAAAGGCCCTTAACGTCTTTATCATTTTATGGCTTTGCAGAGCACTTTAAAGAGATTACAGGAAACGAGGTCTTCTGCCAGTTTACTGTCTAAATTATAAAACAGGACAAAGAACACATGTAAATAAAAGCAAGACAAGAGTTGCCATAAAACCCACGTGTTGTATTTGGGAGAGAGGAGATAAAGCAGACTGCTGCAGGTGCAAACACAAAAGGGACAGGAGGTATTTTAAGGAGAAAGAGGGAATGAGTGGGGATGTCAAGTCACAGGCCAAGGGATTTCCAGGAATCCCGAACGGGAACCGCTCGGACCAGCTCTGGTTTTAAGGTATTTTTTTCTCCCTTCAGCATTCACTCGCATTGAGGACCTGCAGTATTTCTGTTCAAAGCCAATACACAGGAACACAGAGGGGGAGATAAAGGGGAGGAACAAATCTCCTTTCATTTGAGCTTATTTCAGTAACCATACAACCGGCGAGGAAGAGAAGAGCCCTAAAACCTGCTTTATTATGAAGTGCCTGTTCCAAAGCGCTGCAAGAAAGTGAGTAAGCAGAAGGCAGTATGAGGGAATGGGATAGCCCTCACCCATTTGCCTAAAAGGGGAACCTGTACATCCCACTGCCCGCTGCACCTCTGCCGAGTTTGGGAGCCGTGGCACGAGGAGCTCTGGCTCTGGGATTTGCCACACCGGGCTGGTTAACGGCAAGGAGCAGAGCGTGGTTCAGGGGTGGCCGGGAAGCCTGCATCCTCTCGCCCACTCTCCCTGTGCCCCTGCAGGTTGCTCCTCCAGCAAAGCAGGGATGTACTGCCTTCATTTCAGCTCCCCCAGGCCCAAGATGCTGTCAGACCACTATTAATTGATGTTGTTTATAAATCCATACAGTCAAACCTTTTCCTCCAGCTACCTGTCCCCACGGAAATAACCCTAAGCTTTGCAGTTTGGTTCTTCCTACAGCCAGAGGCACTCACATCTCACCAGAACGAGCGACCGAGGCCAGACACAGCCGCAACCATGCGACTGTCACCTCCACGCTGCGACAGTACCGTCCCAGAGAGAAAGAGCAGAAAGGAGGAGGAAAGCTGGTCAATAGGGACACCCAGAAAAAAAAAAAAAAGAGGGGCAGGGACCTGCCTTTCCCTGCTGTTGCCACAGGGCTGTCTGGATTCAGCGCTCAGGAGCCCCGTAAGGCACAGGGCACTGCAGACACAAAAAAGCACAAGCTAAGAGGGAAAGGATTACCTAAAGGTCTGGAGGATGCCCAAAGACTTCCGATAAAAACGAGGAATAAAATTGACAGGGAAATCCAGCAAACGCACAGCAAACAAAAGAAGAGGCTTTTTGGGGATACCCCCACGCAAGGCCACAGAGCTCCACATCATCAACTCGTTAACTTCAGTAATAAATAAGGGTGCAGATAATCTGGGTTTTGCTGTATTATGATTATAAATAAGGTTTCCAGATCAGTTTAATTCTGCAAAGCGCTTTAGGATTAGGGGCTGGCAGCCGGGATAAATCTCCCTGTAGATGCCACAAGAATAGGTTTTGGTACCTGGCTATATTATGATAGGAGAGAGCGAGGAAAGAGACGCTGTGCTTTCTGGGCAAACAAATCCACAGGGGGATTGCTCTAGGGAGAGGATTTCAAGCACGAAGGCGCTCCTTCTCGGGAGGGTTGGAGCAGGGCGGCCCCCCCAGCTGAGCTGGTGGTTTGTTTCATACTCACATCTCCCTTGTGCAACTCGGGCGCCGTGATCCGCACCGGCTCTGTCCTCTTCTTTGGCTTGGGGAGGCTCAAATCCACCCCAGCCCCGGGCAGAGCTGCAGAGGCCGAGACAGGAGGGGGCAGGTTGAG